TTTTGTGCCATTTTAATATTTATATTTGATGTGATTTTGTTGTCTTAATTTCCAGTTAAATCATGTGGTTATTAATCTACTGCAGATGTGTTTATGGACATGAACGGCCTGGACTACAGACAAATGTCATATTTTAGAGGTGACAAATTTACACATTAACGCACAAACTAACAAAAATCAGTATTTGATTGTTTCTTATCATGTAATAGAGGAGAGATGTTTGAAGAGTTGAAGTGTTTGGTTTTTCTTGGCAGTGTTTACAGCTCAGTTTCTGAATCACTTGTTTTGCAGTATGTGACTGTTTATTGATCAGTTGATCGTACAGTGTGATTAATCTTTGTTCGCTCATTCATACGGATCGATTTTCTGCCTCTCTTTCTGTTCTATTCTGTTAGTTTGGATTATTTATTCTGTGTGTGATATTTAATATATACCCACAGTAGTTGCCTGTACACTTTTGTAATGCTTATTTACTGGCATTTTGTACATGTGATAATATTACATTTAATGTAAAAACGAGTGAGTCTACAATTTCAAGGAAAAGATTAAATGGTTTTGGTAACACGTTACAATAACATCGCATTTGTTAACATTAGTTAAAAACATTAGTTTTTAATATGAACTATCAATGATAAATACTTCTAAAAAATGTATTAATCATTGTTAATTTTAACATTTACTAAAACATTATCAAAAATAGTTTCTGTTAATATTATTAAATGGAAGGTGAGCTAACAATTAACAGATGTATTCATTACTAATTAATTATGTACTCATTTTTAATGCATTAATGGGAACTTACTGTAAAGTGTTACTGTATTTTTTTCTTTCAGTGTTTCATAATAATCTAAATCTAAATCTAAATTTATAATTGAGAGCAAATCCAGTGAAATCAGTGCACAAAGCAGCTCAGACCACCCTCGTGTATCCCATCATTCTTTTAAATCCCCTCCTTTTCACTGTCTGCAGTAAGATTCAACAAAATCTGACATTATGTATACAATCCTCCAACAAAGGGTGTTACAAAACAGTTCAGTACCTGAATGCACAATATGACTCATGACTCAATACAGGTGTCCTATTATAATAAACCTATTCAGGTTTGACAATGACATCGGAGCTTCTTGTTGTTCCAAACAGTAGTGTATGTTCACAGGGTGTTAACCCTATTTTCCTGTGTTACCCTAATTCAGGGGTAGGCAAGTTCGGTCCTAGAGAGCCACTGTTCTACAGAGTTTGGCTTCAACCCTAATCAAACACACCTGAACAAGCTAATCAATTTCTTCAGAATTACTAAGGCTATAGGCGGGCAAGGTTTATTTGAGGGTTGAAGCTAAACTCTGCAGGACACTGTCTAGAACCGAACTTGCCTACCCCTGCTCTAATTCCAAGCTTACCCTGGGAACAAAGGAAGAACTAAATTCCAATTCCATTTGACTTTTTTCTATGGAAGTTCAAAGAATGTGAAGTCACCATTTACGTTCTTAGCATCATTTTTCACACAATGAAGGTGAATGGTGACTGAGGCTGTCATTCCTCTAAGGGACTTCTTTTGTGTTGCTCAGAAATGTTAGGGATTTGGAATGATGAGGGTGAGTAAATAATGAAAGAATTTCAAAATATGGGTAAATTATTCCTTTAAGTGAGCAAAATGCGGGAAAAAAGAGAAAAATGTTAAGAGACAAAGAGACCGAGAGATGGAGGAGGCTTTGACACTGCAGTCTATCAATTTAATGTGGTGCCAGCAGGAGTTTCACATCTGTTGTGATGAGGCCATGGTCTCTCTCTGTATCTCTCTGTCTCTGTCTGTTTCCCTCTCTCCATCCCTCTCTAAGTCCGTCCTCCCTCTCCCTGACAAGAGCAGGACTCATTATGCTTCTATTAGGACAGAGGGACATGTGTGTGTTTGTGTGACTGCTTTCGCGATGACATCGCTGATCCAAATGTCATTTTCCAGCAGGAGGTGACTGGCTAGTGTTTTGCTCTAGCTGTTCATGTCCTCTTTGCCTTTCTCGTGTTCCCTCTATATTTTACGCAGCCGAATAATATTGTGACAAGCTGATCTTTTGCCCCTGAGAGAACCAATGCAAAATATGTGTGTGAAAGATACATCGAAAGCAACAAAAAAGGTAGAGATAGAAATGGTTTGCTGGTCCAAAAAATGAAAATTCTGGTGTAGCGAATCAGCTCATGGGGAAATATGAATAATTAATCATAACTAGTTATAATTAATTATAAATATTTAGATCCGCTGTAGATATTTACTTGACCTCTCAGGGTCAACTGTCTGTCAATTCTAAGAACGTTAATTTCCTGGTTAAGGGAAATTACTTTCTTACTGTACAATTCTACACAGAGCTTGTAGCATAAATCTGCATGATAAGGGACTCCAGTTATGAGCAAACAATGAACAACGTCAAGTGTGATACAAGTAAGACTTTATTAACTACATAAACACTTAAACTAGTCCAACATACTACATAAACACTTAAACTGGTCTAACATACAAATACACACTTAAACTGGTCTAACATACACATAAACACACACACACACACACACATACAGTTGGTATAGGAAAGGGTTAAAGCTTAAGCAGTAAAAAGGAGAGAAATAAGGAATGAAGTTATGGAACCATTTGCATATTCAGCAGATCTACACCTGAGGGAAACGTCAGATTCTTAGTTCAAACACACCTTTGTAAAAAGGTGCAAATGATACCTAATGTATCAATTAATAAGTCTAAGTTTGATACTTGCACGTCTCGTCTGTCTGAAAAAGAGGCTTGATGCAATCTAAAAACATTCGTTTTTAACATGAACTATCAATGATAAATACTTCTAAAAAATGTATTAATCATTGTTAATTTTAACATTGACTAAAACATTATCAAAAATAGTTTCTGTTAATATTATTAAATGGAAGGTGAGCTAACAATTAACAGATGTATTCATTACTAATTAATTATGTACTCATTTTTAATGCATTAATGGGAACTTACTGTAAAGTGTTACTGTATTTTTTTCTTTCAGTGTTTCATAATAATCTAAATCTAAATCTAAATTTATAATTGAGAGCAAATCCAGTGAAATCAGTGCACAAAGCAGCTCAGACCACCCTCGTGTATCCCATCATTCTTTTAAATCCCCTCCTTTTCACTGTCTGCAGTAAGATTCAACAAAATCTGACATTATGTATACAATCCTCCAACAAAGGGTGTTACAAAACAGTTCAGTACCTGAATGCACAATATGACTCATGACTCAATACAGGTGTCCTATTATAATAAACCTATTCAGGTTTGACAACGACATCGGAGCTTCTTGTTGTTCCAAATAGTAGTGTATGTTCACAGGGTGTTAACCCTATTTTCCTGTGTTACCCTAATTCAGGGGTAGGCAAGTTCGGTCCTAGAGAGCCACTGTTCTACAGAGTTTGGCTTCAACCCTAATCAAACACACCTGAACAAGCTAATCAATTTCTTCAGAATTACTAAGGCTATAGGCGGGCAAGGTTTATTTGAGGGTTGAAGCTAAACTCTGCAGGACAGCGGCTGTCTAGAACCGAACTTGCCTACCCCTGCCCTAATTCCAAGCTTACCCTGGGAACAAAGGAAGAACTAAATTCCAATTCCATTTGACTTTTTTCTATGGAAGTTCAAAGAATGTGAAGTCACCATTTACGTTCTTAGCATCATTTTTCACACAATGAAGGTGAATGGTGACTGAGGCTGTCATTCCTCTAAGGGACTTCTTTTGTGTTGCTCAGAAATGTTAGGGATTTGGAATGATGAGGGTGAGTAAATAATGAAAGAATTGATGTTTTTGTCTTGATCAAATTAAGGAGTAACAGTGTTTGATTACTTCAGCAGTATTTCATTAGCTTTAATGAATACTTGGCATGGAATGTGTTTCTCAGCATGTTTGAATGAAGCTTGTTTCTGCTTCAGTGACGTACACTAGGCACACTGGAACTCTCCGAAGCTTCTAATGTCAGCGACCAGAACGTCTTGAAGAGCATTAAGCAGGAAGGAGATCATCAAACGGTAACTAAACCAAATTTGCTTTGCTCTGTTATTCTGTGGAATTATTGTGTGTTTGTTCTGGTTTCAGAGATCATCGGTTCTTTCTCGGATCCAGCTAAAGATTTCTACTAGCACAAGTCTGACTCACCAGTATCTTGGGCATTATAAAGTACTAGAAACTCTGAAATCCAGTGAAATCAGTGCACAAAGCAGCTCAGACCACCCTTATGTATCCCATCACTTTTCAGTCCCCATTTCCCTTCCATTTCACTGTCCTCAGTGTAACATTCAAACCATCATCCAACAAAATCTGACATTATGGATACAATCCTCGAACAAAGAGTGTTACAAAACACATTCAGTACCTGAATGCACAATATGACTCATGACTCAATACAGGTGTCCTATTACAATAAACCTGTTCTACAGGTCTGTTTCTGAATTTCCCTGAGATCCCAGTACAAGCACACCCCCATTCCAGCCCAGTCACGCTAACCAGTGTTTGACCTCAGGCAGCGATGACTCCTTTAGTTTAAAGCATTTGTTAATGCTTTAGATGTTAATATGCATCTTTGATAATAAGAACAATGAACAGATTGAAACATGTTTCCTGTAAATGTTCTCTCTTCAAAGAAAATGAAACTAAGTTTATGAAAATTAGATGTCAGTTCCAAACCAGTGGACCAATCAGAAGACCCTGTAGGCGGGGTCTTGCCATAGGCCATTTTGTTTACTGTAGCAAGTTGGCATGGCAACTGTTTTATTTGAGGGCAACATGATGGTGGAGACATTCTGTGCTGCGCTGTTTTTTAAAACTATTCCTGAGCGCTGCGTCTCATGTTTTTAGATGCAAAGAAGCATTTTGTGGGAACAGCCCCTTTACAAAATAAATTTTGTGCCATTTTGATTCGGATTTTATGTGATTTTGTTGTCTGTCTTAATTTCTGGATAAATCATGTAAGGAATAATTGATGACAGGCTGTTGAATTATTAAAATAATGCACACCCGAGTTGGTGATGTGGTAGGATGCAAATTAATATTTTTTATTTTTACTGCTACCACATTGTACTTATTGTTAGTTCTTCTCTCATTTAGTGTACAAAAAATGGCCATCAAATAGTCAAATGTACAGTCCATATTTTTGTCTTCTAAAAGTGTGTTTACATTTACTTTAGCAATACGATGTGTTGATTACCACTGGTGCAGACAGCACTAGACACATCCACTAGAAACCAACAAAACAGCAACTTGATGGCCAAAGACATTCATGTTTAACAAAATAATTTGTTTTAGAAATTCAGGTAGGTTTTTGGAGAACAAATCATACAAAGGTGAGTAGAATAAGGAGATAAAGCAGTTACAACTTACTTCCGTGGAACACAACAGACACCATTCACCAAACCCAGATCCACCGCTCGTTATCACGGGGAAGTAACAGTATCTAATTTTAACAACAGTATTTAAACTTTAATGTGCACATAATGCGTTTCTCAGCATATGTGACCCTGGAGCACAAAAGCAGTCATAAGTTGCTGGCGTATATTTGTAGCAATAGCCAACAATACATTGTATGGGTCAAAATTATTGATTTTTCTTTTATGCCAAAAATCATTAGGATATTAAGTAAAGATCATGTTCCATGAAGATATTTTGTAAATTTCCTACAGTAAATATATCAAAACTTAATTTTTGATTAGTAATATGCATTGCTAAGAACTTAATTTGAACAACTTTAAAGATGATTTTCTCAGCATTTTGATTTGTTTGCACCCTCAGATTCCAGATTTTCAAATAGTTGTATCTCGACCAAATATTGTCCGATCCTAACAAACCATACATCCATGGAAAGATTATTTGATGACCGGTTATGACTGGTTTTGTGGTCCAGGGTCACATATGTGAATGAGTTGAGTTTGTCTTGTTTCTGCTCCAGTGACGTGGCACATTAAAGCTTCTGGCCAACGACAGAAAGCATTGAAGGGCATTAAGCAGGAAGGAGATCAGCAGAAATGGTAACTAAACCCCATGACTGTTGCATTTGTGCCAAAAGCAGTTGACTGCTTTGTACTATACATTTGTCTGTGTCTACAGTCATTGCATATTTAAGATAAATTAATATATGTCGATGTGTGTGTTGTTTGTTGTCCTGTTCTGTTGTCCTTCGTGTTGCCTTCTGTTGTTTATGGAAGGCTGTTTTTAAAAATGATGGCTTTACGATTGTGCCAAAAAATGCTTTGTACAATCATCTATGTCTACTGTTGTTTAATTTGCGTCATCGTCCCTGTCAGGCATTCAGCTCAGTTTTATGCTTTATAAGTTACTGCTCTCAGTGAACGTCCTGCAGTGCATGTTACAGACATCCGATTAACAAATAAAATGTTTAGATTTTTTCCCATAATGAGTGTTCTCAACATCTCTCTAAAACTAAATATTATCTTATGACAAAGCATGAAGATGAAACTTAAGGACTATGAATGCATGGAGAGGAAGACATAACAAAACAAAACAACAGTAATAACAGTGATAACAGTAGAAATAGACAAGTGTATTGCATGAAGCAGTCAACAATTTAAAAAAAAATAGAGTTTCATGTAAGGCCGAACAATGTTATTTGGTTGTGTGTTTGATTTACACCAGCTTGAGTTTGATTTTGAGATATCTCAGCCATTATATAGTACTAGACACACTAAAATCAGTGTACAAAGCAGTTTAGATCACCCTCATGTATCCCATAATCCTTTTCAGCCCCCATTTTACTCTCAATTTCACTGTCCTTAGTAACATTCAAACCATTATCCTACAAAATCTGACATTACCAATATACTCCTCCAAGAAAGATTTTTTACAAAGCCCTTCAGTATTACAAGCACACTATGAGGTGTGTCCCACTGTTAAACCTGTTATACAGGTCTGTTTATGAATTTCCCTTGTTCAAAACAAGTTTAATCTTGCTAGCTGCTTAAGGCTTTATAAACATGCCATGTTAACGGCCTGTATTTTATCTTCCCTCATCTTTTGTTAAACCCCATTTATATGACACAAGTGTCACAAGCACAGGGTTTTGTGAGGTTTTTTAAGTTACTGTTAAATTAAATAGAGTAATCTAAGATGATCTGTCCTTCAGTGTGTGGGGATAGAATACATGATCATGGGAAGAAATGAACACAGATACATAAAGTTCAATGATCAAACTTTCTTCAGAGGTTTATTGATTTAGGCGTTTGAGGATGTGGGAGAGGCAGGCCGATCTCCACGGTCTGCAGTTTACCACAGGCCTAATTATTGAGTATTTCCACAGAAATTTTTGCATATCTCATCACATTCTGTATTAGTCATACCCATGCCTGTCGTATATTACTAGTTAAAAATTACCCTCTATCTTATTTTTAAGATCAAATTTTGCTTTAAGAATTTCCCCCCTCAAATGTCTCCTTTTCTCACACAGTAATTCTGTATTTAAAAAAAATACTTTCTGTTGTAATATAGTATATTCTCCAATAGGTGTCACTGTTGTACTGACGACACACGGTGTCGCTGCTGTTTTTCTTCTCCCTGCTACTCTTCTTGTCAGTCGATATAATAAAAAAACCACGTGAAACTTCAACAGGTTATGGGCCCAGGTCTTCGCTAAAAAGGTGCTTTTATACACAGGTTTTTTTTTGTGTGTGTGTGTGACATAGACAGTGTTGTGGAACTCACAATGGAGGATAGACTGTTTATTGAAAAGCTAAGCGGGCCAGAGAACTGGGCAACGTGGAAATTTCAAATGGAGCATTTGATGAAAGCAAAAGGACTATGGGGCATGGTGGTAAAGATACCCAGGGCTTGTTATTTGGGAAGATTTTCACATTTTTTGTTTCAGATACATATGATGTAATGGTGTCTGTGAGCTCATCCGCATCTTGACAAGATTGAAAGAAAATGTCCCAGTTAGTCTCATCGAAGCAGTCCCTTAGTTGCTCTTTACACCTATCAGACCACACCTGTATTTGCTTAAGAACAGGCTTCACTCTCTTCACTACAGCCTTATATTTGGTCAGGAGATGAATTACATTGTGTCTAATTGTCTTTGATTGCATTTCAATAACATTTACAGTATAACTCACCTCAATTTTGACATTTTTAAAACATCATAATAACTTTGAGTTGTTTCCAAAACACCAGAAGATTAAACGTGTAGCAAACATTCCAGATTATTGTTCTGCGTCATGGAAAAAGTCATGAACTTTGTGTTTTGAATTGACAATCCGTATTGTATTAAGTGCTTTAGAAATAAAGCTGATTCATGACACCACACAAATTTTGGAATGGAATAGGTTTTTAATCTAAATTTATAGGAGGCTCATACCATCACATGACACACTGAACTTTTTCCAGTTTAAACTCGACAAGCAAATAATTCCTTTGGAAGGATAAACACAGAAAACATTAATAGCAATCTCTGTTTTTTTAATGTTTATGTTTGCATATTTTGTTTTACTGAGGTTAACGTCCATGTTCTATTTTTTAAATGAATATAAGGCAGTGTATTGAACCAACGTAAGTGTTTTTAAGGGTCACAAGCATCAAAGTGGTGTTTTTAAAGTTACTGTATTTCCAATTTAATCTCTGTCTAGTAGAAAAAGTGTTTGCTGAAGTGTGTTTCCAAAAACATAAATCGCTTGATCACTGATGGAAAGAGCTAGAAGAATGACGTCAAACATCTTTCCTGGAAATGTTTTCACTTACATGAAAATGAAAGTAATTTTGGTGTTGGACTGGAATTTTCCACCTTCTGACGTCAAATCTCCTGAGATCACTGCTGACTTTTCATTGGATGCATTCTGACACCAAGCCCTATATATACCTTGAAGCAGCTTGTGCACTCTCATTTCGGGCGGGCGTTGCGGTGGAGAAGGACACAGGTAACAGGTCTGGTATACAGGTAAATACACTCTCCTGCGAGGACTGACTCGCCTCCGAGGAGCAGGGCCACAGACGGGTCGAGACACTCTCCTGCGAGGACTGACTCGCCTCCGAGGAGCAGGGCCACAGACGGGTCGAGACACTCTCCTGCGAGGACTGACTCGCCTCCGAGGAGCAGGGCCACAGACGGGTCGAGACACTCTCCTGCGAGGACTGACTCGCCTCCGAGGAGCAGGGCCACAGACGGGTCGAGACACTCTCCTGCGAGGACTGACTAGCCTCCGAGGAGCGGGGCCACAGACAGGTCGAGACACTCTCCTGCGAGGACCGACTCGCCTCCGAGGAGCGGGGTCATAGACGGGTAGAGACACTCTCCTGCGAGGACCGACTCGCCTCCGAGGAGCGGGGCCACAGGCGGGTCACGACACTCTCCTCTGAGAACCGACTCTCCTCCGAGGAGCGGGGCCAGAGGCAGGTCGAGACACTCTCCTGCGAGGACCAACTCGCCTCCGAGGAGCGGGGCCACAGGCGGGTCCCGACACTCTCCTCTGAGAACCGACTCTTTTCCGAGGAGCGGGGCCAGAGGCAGGTCGAGACACTCTCCTGCGAGGACTGACTCGCCTCCGAGGAGCGGGGCCACAGACGGGTCGAGACACTCTCCTGCGAGGACCGACTCGCCTCCGAGGAGCGGGGTCACAGACGCCTCCGAGGAGCGGGGTCACAGGCGGGCATAGTGACGTCTGTGGTCCCATGCAGACTGAATCTATAGGTGGGTCCAAGTATTTTGTGACTTTTATCGATGACTATTCTAGATGTTGCAAGGTATACTTTATGAAGCAAAAGAGTGAAGTTCTTTGCAAATTCAAGGAGTTTGAGAAAACATTCTCCAATGAATGCGGACAAAAAGTGACAAGACTAAGAACGGACAATGGTGGGGAATACACATCCAAAGAATTTCAAGAATACTTGAAGGTTCAAGGTATCCATCATGAGACAACTGTACCACACACACCTCAGCAAAATGGTGTTGCAGAAAGAAAGAATAGGACATTAATTGAAGCAGCAAGAACCATGCTCTCTCATGCTAAATTGCCAAAGACATACTGGGCGGAGGCTGTAGCGACAGCAGTTTACATACAGAACAGGCTGCCCACATCTGTTCTGAAGCAAGAGACGCCCTACCAGAGATGGTGCGACAAACAGCCAAATGTAAGTCACTTGAAAGTGTTTGGTTGCGTGGCTTATGCACATGTTCTAGATGCAGAAAGAAGAAAACTGGACAAGAAGGCTGTGAAGCTCCGTTTCGTGGGATATGCCAATAATGCAAAGGGCTACCGCTTGTTTGATGAAGAAAAAAGAAGGATACTAATTCGTCGGGATGTGATCTTCAATGAGTCGGACTTGAAACAAGAAGTGGACATTTCTTGCTCGGAGAACGAAGTTATCATGAAAACTGATGAGAAAACATCAAGTGATGCTACTGTTGATGAAACTGCCAAAGACGGCGGCAGAATCAGAAAACCACCCAAGAGGTATGGATATGATGAGTTTGCTGACCTAGTGACTGTTGATCATTATGCTAGTGTTTGTCTTGTGGCAGAACCAGGCACACTGAAGGAGGCAATGATGAGTCCCAACGCAAAGGAATGGCAGGAGGCAGTTGACTTGGAATATGAGTCGCTCCTGGAAAATGAGACGTGGGATTTAGTGGAACTACCAAAGGATTGTAAGGCCATAGGGTCAAGATGGGTGTTTAAAGTCAAGCATCAGAGTGATGGACGAGTGGAGAGATACAAGTGCAGCAGATGGATGTGATAACTGCATTTCTAAATGGACACCTGGATGAGGAAATCTACATGGAGCAACCAGAGGGATTTGTCAAATCAGGGGAGGAACATTTGGTATGCAAACTGAAAAAGTCAATATACGGGCTGAAGCAGTCTCCTCGCTGCTGGAGCAAAACTTTCACAGAGTTCATGAAGAACATTGGTTTCAAACAGAGTACATCGGACCCATGTGTGTTTGTGAGATGTCAACAGGAGCTGGAGATATTGGCTGTATATGTTGATGATCTGATCCTGATCACGGAGTCGATAGAAAGCATGAAAGAGCTGAAACTTGCTCTAAAGAAGCGCTACAAGATGAAGGACATGGGAGAGCTTTCCTATATCTTGGGTATCTCTGTCATCCAAGACAAGGAGAGAAATTGTGTGTTTCTTCATCAGAAGCATTACATAGAAGCCATTCTTCAAAAATATGGCATGCATGATGCAAATTCTGTTGCAACTCCAACTGATGTAAATGTGAAGCTAAAAAAGAATGACGGTGTAAGCAAGCCTGTGAACTCAAGTACTTACCAGTCCATGGTAGGTAGCCTACTGTATGCTGCAATGGCCACACGACCTGACATAGCACAAGCAGTGAGTGTTGTATCAAAGTTCAACGCTAATCCAAGTGCTGCGCATCTGACGGCGGTGAAGAGAATTCTACGGTACTTGAAGGGTACCCTGAATCTTGCTCTCAAATATGAGCGGTCAGATTCTGGAACTTTGATCGGATACTCAGATGCTGACTGGGCTGGTGATCAGGACGATCGTCGCTCGACAACTGGCAATGTGTTCTTACTGGGTGGAGGAGCCGTGAGCTGGCTCAGCAAGAAACAGTCAACTGTTGTTCTTTCTGAGTATGTTGCACTTAGTCAAGCAGCTCAGGAATGTGCCTGGCTTAGAAGACTACTGAGTGATCTTGGAATGCATGTCACACCTGTAGTGATTCTGGAGGACAACCAAGGAGCTATTGCAATCGCAAAGAATCCAGTTGACCATTCACGGACTAAGCACATAGACATTCGCTATCATTACATTCGTGAGTGTGTGCAGAATGGTCAAATCCAACTGCAATACTGCCCTACAGATGACATGAAGGCAGATATCTTGACCAAGCCATTAGTAAGACATAAGTTTGAGTATCTTAGGAGTGAGATTGGACTTTGTTTCATTTAATTCAATCTAGCGTAACAGTAAATAGACTAGACTGTGTTTAGTGTTAAGTGTGTTACGATACAAAAATCTGTTAACATGGTAAAAAGACAAAGAAAAACACGGTACGAGTTTGTATTAGTATGATTTATTTTGTTTTTACAGTTAAAAAAGAAAAAGTAAAATAGTTTACTATTACATTGTTTAATGCTGTTGGAAAATAAGTGGGAGTGTTGTAATATAGTATATTCTCCAATAGGTGTCACTGTTGTACTGACGACGCACGGTGTCGCTGCTGTTTTTCTTCTCCCTGCTACTCTTCTTGTCAGTCGATATAATAAAAAAACCACGTGAAACTTCAACACTTTCTTTCATTAAGAAAGATACCCAAGGCTTGTTATTTGGGAAGATTTTCACATTTTTTGTTTCAGATACATATGATGTAATGGTGTCTGTGAGCTCATCCGCATCTTGACAAGATTGAAAGAAAATGTCCCAGTTAGTCTCATCGAAGCAGTCCCTTAGTTGCTCTTTACACCTATCAGACCACACCTGTATTTGCTTAAGAACAGGCTTCACTCTCTTCACTACAGCCTTATATTTGGTCAGGAGATGAATTACATTGTGTCTAATTGTCTTTGATTGCATTTCAATAACATTTACAGTATAACTCACCTCAATTTTGACATTTTTAAAACATCATAATAACTTTGAGTTGTTTCCAAAACACCAGAAGATTAAACGTGTAGCAAACATTCCAGATTATTGTTCTGCGTCATGGAAAAAGTCATGAACTTTGTGTTTTGAATTGACAATCCGTATTGTATTAAGTGCTTTAGAAATAAAGCTGATTCATGACACCACACAAATTTTGGAATGGAATAGGTTTTTAATCTAAATTTATAGGAGGCTCATACCATCACATGACACACTGAACTTTTTCCAGTTTAAACTCGACAAGCAAATAATTCCTTTGGAAGGATAAACACAGAAAACATTAATAGCAATCTCTGTTTTTTTAATGTTTATGTTTGCATATTTTGTTTTACTGAGGTTAACGTCCATGTTCTATTTTTTAAATGAATATAAGGCAGTGTATTGAACCAACGTAAGTGTTTTTAAGGGTCACAAGCATCAAAGTGGTGTTTTTAAAGTTACTGTATTTCCAATTTAATCTCTGTCTAGTAGAAAAAGTGTTTGCTGAAGTGTGTTTCCAAAAACATAAATCGCTTGAACACTGATGGAAAGAGCTAGAAGAATGACCTCAAACATCTTTCCTGGAAATGTTTTCACTTCCATGAAAATGAAAGTAATTTTGGTGTTGGACTGGAATTTTCCACCTTCTGACGTCAAATCTCCTGAGATCACTGCTGACTTTTCATTGGATGCATTCTGACACCAAGCCCTATATATACCTTGAAGCAGCTTGTGCACTCTCATTTCGGGCGGGCGTTGCGGTGGAGAAGGACACAGGTAACAGGTCTGGTATACAGGTAAATACACTCTCCTGCGAGGACTGACTCGCCTCCGAGGAGCAGGGCCACAGACGGGTCGAGACACTCTCCTGCGAGGACCGACTCGAGTGGTGTTTTTAAAGTTACTGTATTTCCAATTTAATCTCTGTCTAGTAGAAAAAGTGTTTGCTGAAGTGTGTTTCCAAAAACATAAATCGCTTGAACACTGATGGAAAGAGCTAGAAGAATGACCTCAAACATCTTTCCTGGAAATGTTTTCACTTCCATGAAAATGAAAGTAATTTTGGTGTTGGACTGGAATTTTCCACCTTCTGACGTCAAATCTCCTGAGATCACTGCTGACTTTTCATTGGATGCATTCTGACACCAAGCCCTATATATACCTTGAAGCAGCTTGTGCACTCTCATTTCGGGCGGGCGTTGCGGTGGAGAAGGACACAGGTAACAGGTCTGGTATACAGGTAAATACACTCTCCTGCGAGGACTGACTCGCCTCCGAGGAGCAGGGCCACAGACGGGTCGAGACACTCTCCTGCGAGGACTGACTCGCCTCCGAGGAGCAGGGCCACAGACGGGTCGAGACACTCTCCTGCGAGGACTGACTCGCCTCCGAGGAGCAGGGCCACAGACGGGTCGAGACACTCTCCTGCGAGGACTGACTCGCCTCCGAGGAGCAGGGCCACAGACGGGTCGAGACACTCTCCTGCGAGGACTGACTCGCCTCCGAGGAGCGGGGCCACAGACAGGTCGAGACACTCTCCTGCGAGGACTGACTCGCCTCCGAGGAGCGGGGTCACAGACGCCTCCGAGGAGCGGGGTCACAGACGGGTAGAGACACTCTCCTCCGAGGACCGACTCGCCTCCGAGGAGCGGGGCCACAGGCGGGTCACGACACTCTCCTCTGAGAACCGACTCTCCTCCGAGGAGCGGGGCCAGAGGCAGGTCGAGACACTCTCCTGCGAGGACCAACTCGCCTCCGAGGAGCAGGGCCACAGGCGGGTCGAGACACTCTCCTGCGAGGAATGACTCGCCTCCGAGGAGCGGGGCCACAGGCGGGTCACGACACTCTCCTCTGAGAACCGACTCTCCTCCGAGGAGCGGGGCCAGAGGCAGGTCGAGACACTCTCCTGCGAGGACTGACTCGCCTCCGAGGAGCGGGGCCACAGACAGGTCGAGACACTCTCCTGCGAGGACTGACTCGCCTCCGAGGAGCGGGGTCACAGACGCCTCCGAGGAGCGGGGGCACAGACGGGTAGAGACACTCTCCTCCGAGGACCGACTCGCCTCCGAGGAGCGGGGCCACAGGCGGGTCACGACACTCTCCTCTGAGAACCGACTCTCCTCCGAGGAGCGGGGCCAGAGGCAGGTCGAGACACTCTCCTGCGAGGACTGACTCGCCTCCGAGGAGCGGGGTCACAGACGCCTCCGAGGAGCGGGGTCACAGGCGGGCGAGGAGCGGGGCCAGAGGCAGGTCGAGACACTCTCCTGCGAGGACCAACTCGCCTCCGAGGAGCAGGGCCACAGGCGGGTCGAGACACTCTCCTGCGAGGAATGACTCGCCTCCGAGGAGCGGGGCCACAGGCGTGTCACGACACTCTCCTCTGAGAACCGACTCTCCTCCGAGGAGCGGGGCCAGAGGCAGGTCGAGACACTCTCCTGCGAGGACCAACTCGCCTCCGAGGAGCGGGCCCACAGGTGGGCCACGACACTCACCGAGACCACAGGCGGATTGAGACATTCTCCCCAAAGAAGCCAGTTGGATTCTCTCTCCGTCAGCATGTCTTGTGCTTCACCAGAATTCACTGAGGTCAACATGCCAGTACTCAACGATATACCCGAGTCAGCCACTAAAGTAAACCAGCCAGCTTTATCTTTTTTAAAGATAAAGAAGTGGTTTACTTCTGTCAGTGGTTTGGTTCTATCTATATACCAGATTCTTTCAGGTGTATTGAACTTGATTCGGGTATTCTCAACATCTTTCAGCTGGCTAGGGCTGAGTTTAGCTGTGTGGCAAATTGGTTCAAATCTGTTCGGCTTTGTTAAAAGGTCCAGCAGATTGCACCACTGCCCAGACCACAGAAAACCACCAGGATTCCCTTCTCCAAGCCAGAGAGGAGGATGGATAGTTTGATTGAAACCACTTTTAAATAAATAAATAAATAAGTGACACTTTTGTGTGTGTTTTTATTTACTCAAATGACTGTATGTGTAAGTGCGCTCCAGTTGACAGCGGTCGTCAATATGAAACTACAGCCGTTTGGACAAACTTCAGAATCGATGAAGTTCAACAGAAGAGAGAGGATCCTTCAGCTTGCAACGTCGTCTTTCAAAGAGTTCATCTATCATCTTTAAGAGCGAGGCCTATGAGGAATGTGATGGGATTGTTTTACAGTTGGAGTTCCAGAAGGTTCCATTGCCTGATGGTTCTTGGGTCATTGAGATTGAGCTGTTGGATTCACTTTGGGCTGGAAAACCCCTTCTAATGATGGTTGATTCAATCCTTGTGCTGTAACGCGTTTGGACAGCACTCAGCGCTTAATGTGGTTTGCCTCATGCTCTGGTGATCGAGTTCATTGGTATGAACAGAAAAAGAGAAAGAAAGGAAGAAAGAATAAGAAGGAAGATGCTTTTGTTCAAATCTTTTAGCAACTTTCTTCTGTGGAATACAAAAGAACATTCACCAAACAGATTTATCACTCGTTATCACAGCAAAGTAACATTGTTTAATTTTAACATTTTTTAAGTATTTCATTCTTTAACAAACATTTGGCACATAATGTGTTTCTCAGTATGCATGAATGAGGTGAATGTGTGTGTGTTTCTGCTTCAGTGACGTGGCACATTATTGATGGGAACTTTTCCAGAAGCTTCTGTAAGGCATCGGCCAGACACGTCACAAAACCTCTTGAAGAGCATTAAGCTGGAAGGAGTTCGCCAGAGACTGTAAGTAAACCCGGTAACCCTTTACAATAAGGTTCCATTAGTTAATGTTAGTTAATGTATTAACTAACATGAATAAAAAATAAACAATACATTTATTACACTATTTATTAAACTTTGATTATGTTAGTCAATGAAAATTCAGTTGTTCATTGTTAGTTCATGTTAATTCACAGTGCATTAACTAATGTTAACAAGCACAACTTTTGATTTTAATAATGCATTAGTAAATGTTGAAATTAACATTAACTAAGATTAATAAATGCTGTAGAAGTATTGTTCATGCTTAGTTCATGTTAACTAAAGTAGTTAACTAATGTTAACTAATGAACCTTATTGTAAAGTGTTACCGTAAACCCCATGATAAAGATAATTAATGATATTTGCTTTACTCTTCTGTTCTGTGGGATTTGCGTGTTTTCTAGCTGACATTTGAGAGCAGCTGGAGCATTTGGTTGAAGATATCATTGGTTCTGTCTCAGATCCAGCGAAAGATTTCTACCTGCGTGCATTTGACTTCAACATCTCTCAGCCATTAAAAAGTGCTAGAAACACCCAGTGCACAAACAAACTCAGACCATCATGTATCCCACCATCCTTTTAAGTTCCCTTGTTTCACTGTCAGACCAATATCCAACAAAATCTGACAATACTGATACATTCCTCCAACAGCAGTTGTGACAAAACACAGTTCAGAACACACAAGCACAATATGCATCATGACTCATTCAA